TCTAAAGAATATTGTACTGTAACACTGTGAAACTGACTGGTTTAACTTCTGCTATACGAATCTAAAGAATATTGTACTGTAACACTGTGAAACTGACTAATTTAACATCTGCTATATGAATCTAAAGAAACGTTGCTGTAATACTGTGAAACTGACTGGTTTACCTTCTGCTTATGAATCTAAAGAATATTGTACTGTAACACTGTGAAACTGACTGGTTTAACTTCTGCTATACGGTACAATATTCTTTAGATTAAGTTAAACCAGTCAGTTTCACAGTGTTACAGACTTTCATTTATCATAATTTAGCAGTATCCAACTTTCAGAGTAAACTGTAAACTGACGGAACTTTCACTAATGCTTTATTTATTAATCTTATTCCGTACCTTTATTAAGGGTTTTAATTCAATAATTTTTTTTTTTTACTTTTATTGTATTTACGACATTTTTCCTGTCATTACTGCCTTGAAGATCAATTTTAGACTTACCTGTGTATGTATGGTTTCATCAATTTCCTGATACAATTTCTTTTCACAGTCCGGATTTAAAGCCAACAAATACGCAATGAATGACAAAGCACTAGCTGTAGTCTCGTAACCAGCCAGGAAGAATAACACGCACTGGGCTACAAGTTCGTCTTGGGTCAAAGCTAGAAAAATAATTACGTAAAATGAATCGTATTTGTTCAAGTTTGATTAGAGAGCCAATAACATGAAAGATTGATGAATAAGTCAAACTTGTCTCGAACTGTCTGTCACACTTAAAGACGAATAAAGTCTGTTTCTTAGCATCTATTTAATTGGATTAACGAGAGTTGGTACAGCTTGAAACAGCAGTAGTCAACTAGTCATGGTGTGGAATTTCTTATAGAGGTATTTTTCATAATCCCCCCCCCCCAGTGGTACAGCGGTATGTCTGCGGACTTACAACGCTAGAAACCGGGTTTCGATACCTGTGGGAAGAGCACATATAGCCCATTGTGAGGCTTTGTGCTTAATTACAAACAAACAAACTTTTCATATTGCATTTTATGCCTACACAACATGGAAAAACCCCACGTGTTAAATATAACTTGAAAGCAAGACCACTCTTTTCTCTAATTTTGAAGCCAAAAATGCAAAAATTCGGGTTTCGATGCCCGCGTTGGGCAGGGCACAGATAGCCCTTCGTGTAGCTCTGTGCTTAACAAGAAACTTTTCCTTAAAAGAAAAGAGAGTAGAAAATCGTGTACTTAAGCTAAACGTATTTCAATATAATCAATAATTATTAATATTATGTCACAATATTGTATAATTCAAATATTAAATGGCCCGGCATGGCCAGGTGGTTAGGACACTCGACTCGCAATCTGAGGGTCGCGGGTTCGAATCCACGTCCCACCAAACATGCTCGCCCTTTCAGTCGTGGGGGCGTTATAATGTGACGGTCAATCCCACTATTCGTTGGTAAAGGAGTAGCCCAAGAGTTGGCGGTTGGTGGTTATGACTATCTGCCTTCCCTCTAGTCTTACACTGCTAAATTAGGGACGGCTAGCGCAGATAGCCCTCGTGTAGCTTTGCGCGAGATTCAAAAAACAAACAAACAAATATTAAAATTTCCTTTGTACACGTATAGCAGAATTAAAGTAATCAGCCAAACGATTTCTTCTCGTAACTCTTTAAGTTCAACATATTCAAAACAATGAAATACTTTCACAAAAACCTGTCTTTTCTAATTATAACCTTAAAAAGGTTTACTAAAGAAAGAATGAGTAACAATCAACATGTTACGAATCACCCACTAAAACTCAAAATATTACAGAATTTTTATTCCTATTGCTAACAGTGCTGTTTATAGTATGAAATGACCTTCACTCGTCGTAACATTTTCTTGGAACTTTGGATCCTCGAAGACTATATACAAATTATCACTATTTCAGACCAAAGCCTCACAGATAATTTTACTTTTCTATCTTGCTTCGGGTTTATTTGATTTGACACTGTTTTCCAAAACGTTGTTATGCAATTAAATATGTCTTTGATTTATTGTAATGAGAGTTTACATTAATTTCTATTGTTTAATATAAAGAACTAAAAATCATGTAAATAAAAAAACATTTTATAAATTCCATACTCTTTCATTTTGTTTGAAATTTCATCAGATCAATATGACCCTAAACAAAACAGTCGTAGCTAAACATAATAGCAGCATTATAAGAATCCAAAACGTTATACTTCTCTCAGATGTTATTTAATATCTTTTTAAGAGGGCTTTACAAAAAAAAGAAAAAGTTCTGAGTATTACAGCAACGTTTCTTTAGATTCATATAGCAGATGTTAAATTAGTCAGTTTCACAGTGTTACAGTACAATATTCTTTAGATTCATATAGCAGGATGTTATAGTAAGATTGTCATACAAGTTCAACGTTCTTTAACACAAATGTGGCATAGTGAGAAATTTGTTCTTTATATCTAAAAAAACTGTCGAATTTCTGTGATAAGTTAGTATTAACGTATAATTTAGTTCTTAAACAGTTCCATATAGAGAGACATCTCAAAATCAAATAATTAAATAGACATGATGTTTATTCAATAGTCATTTAATTAAGAAAGGCATCCAACGGCTCCCATGGCCAAGTCAGTAACCTGATATGAACCCCATCGAGCATGTCTGGGCCATACTTGCTCGAGCAGTGAGAAGAAGTTCCAGAAAACCAGCGTCTCGTGGAGAGCTACTTTACATTTGTAAACATTTTTGTCAAGTTGATAATGTGAGATGAATGACTATTGAGAAATATCATTGTGTCTATTTACTTTTGAGATGTCTCTCTATGTACGGATATATTTCAGAAACATGCTGTATATTAGGCACTGAAATTTAACTGAATTAAATAGTGTTCTAATATCTGTGTGTTCTAGGAGGACGAGACTTATGAAATTGTCAGTTCTATGAATTACTTAGATGCAGTTATCTGTGAAACTCTTCGAATCTACTCTCCTGCATCATTGTAAGTAACAATTAATATCACAGTAGAGATTCTGAAGGTATTTGATATAACATGAAAAGTTAAAATGAACAAGCAAAATTCATATATGTAAACATTAGTTAGTTGTAAACAACGCTTTTACAAAATTCGTATATGTAACCATTAGTTAGTTGTAAACAACGCTTTTACAAAATTCGTATATGTAACCATTAGTTAGTTGTAAACAACGCTTTTACAAAATTCGTATATGTAATCATTAGTTAGTTGAAAACAATGCTTTTACAAAATTCAGACATGTAACCATTAGTTAGTTGTGAACAATGCTTTTACAAAATTCAGATATGTAACCATTAGTTAGTTGTAAACAATGCTTTTACAATAAAGAAGGAACTGAGGAGGACCACAGAAATGGTGAAAAGGGATTTGTTGGATGTTATTGAATAGTCTATTCCCACCTTTAGAAAAATCACTAAACATTTCTTATAATATATTACGTTCAATAAACCACTCTTTCCAGAGTTTTTATATTTCCCACTCTGACAGTGTACTCTATTTACCTCAGCATTTTCAACTTTGATGAACCGTAAGTGGTGAAATTCTCCTTAAAGTAGTACAGGTACTGATCTTTGCTACTGAAACTCTTCGAATCTACTTCCCAGTACCATTGTTAGTAAAAACTAATACTAAGTATTCTGGGAGTTGACGGGACTTCTTCATCCAGTATCTAAATTGAACTACCAAACATTACAAAAACTAAAGGAACTCAGTACTGGCTTCCAAACAAATAAATAATAATAATAACAATAAAACAGAGGAGTCCCACTCCATCTAGAGTTCCAAAGAAGAACTAATACTGATTTTCGATGAGTACCGGCAGAAATAACCCCTGTTAAATATATTTTATATTTGTTTCGAATTCCAAGTATTTGAACTTTACTACACACAATGATTCAATTCAATTTATAAAAAAAGCCTATTCCAGTTAAAATGCATTTGTTTTTAGTTTTAATTTAGGCTTATATATTTCATTCTGTTTAAAACCTTATTATCCTTGTGCTGCATTAGTGGAGTGGCCTGTCGTCTCAAATACAAATAAAAAAAAAACATGTATCAGATCATGATAATTTATCTATATATTTTTATTTTCCTGACTTCATTATACATATTGGCTTAAGAATATTAAGCACCAACTATGCTAATGTATGAGGAACGACCTTCCCTAAATTAAAAAAAATATATATCAGATAATTTTTACCAGATTAAATACAAGTTTTAAAGATCATTCATTGATTGTGTTCAGTACTGAGTGATGCTAATATATTCAGTACCAATATATGTACAATATGCTCCACTCTTCCACAGGAAGGAAAGTTGATGAGTAAAACTGCTATCCAAACAAGGAAAACAAAATATAATTAAAATCGGGAATATTTATCTCAAACTTTGGTATATTTGTTTTTGAAATTCAACGGTTATCTGTTCCAGCCGTCTATAATTTGGAGCTGATGGTCAATAAGGATAGCAGCTAGTCAACATAACTTAAAGTTAACGCTTGGACAACTGTTATTGAATAGTGGGATTTGACAGGTAACATCTGCATTCCTGGGTTTTATTGTTTCGGTATCACATGGAGCTCATTTAAAGTTTTGTTTTACAGTGCAGAACGACGTGCTTTACAAGATTATACGTTTGACGACATAGGGTTGACTATACCTAAAGACACACCAGTGAGGTTTCCAATCTACGCCATTCACCATGACCCAAAAAATTTTCCAGAGCCCGAGAAATTCAATCCAGACAGGTAACAACTTATTTTATTTTACACAGAAAGGTAATAGTTGTTTTTATGTAGTCCAAACAAGTAACAGTTGATTTTATCCGACCTAGATGGGTCACAGCTGTTTTCATTTGCTCCAGACAGGTAACAGTTATTTTCACGTGGTTCAGACAGATAACAGTTGGTTTTATGTGAAACGGATAGGTAACAGCTGTTTTTATGTGGTTCGGAAAGGAAACAGCTGTTTTTATGTGGTTCAGAAAGGTAACAGTTTGTTTTATGTAACACAGATAGGTAACAGCTGTTTTTATGTGGTTCAGAAAGGTAACAACTGTTTTTATGTGTTTCAGAAAGGTAACAGTTGGTTTTATGTAACACAGATAGGTAACAGCTGTTTTTATGTGGTTCAGAAAGGTAACAGTTGGTTTTATGTAACACAGATAGGTAACAGTTGATTTGTATTTAATA